AGTAGCAACATGCGACTCAGACCTAAAGATACGATAGACGGAGTATCAACACAGCCCATCTGAGGAGCAGGTGACTCCTGCAGTTTGGAGGGAAATCCCTGACTTGCCGAGCCAAAATTCAGACTTTGTTAAATTAAAACCAAGTCATAAATCTGGAATTCTGACTATTGCGTAAAGTCAGAATCCTTCCTCCAGATGGACTGAACTGAAACCGAACTGTTGTTCAAATTGACTGCGATGGCAGCAACAGTTATTGAGAACTCTCATCTGTTATCAACAACAGCACTGAAAATGTCTATAAACTGTTTGTTTTTTCCTAACGATTAAAACAACAACCAAAAAAAAGTTTAGTGTGTATTTAACATCGTCATGTTGCATATTTAGTGTATTTTGTCCAACTGTGTCCTAAACCTGACATTACAGGCTGTAAAACAGCAGTAATTGCTCATAACGCCGCAGTACGCGTTCACAGATTTTGCGTCAGATAGGTGTTGGGTCTCCAAGTCAGGGTGAGGTTTGTTCCTTTAATACTCTGTGCTTTTCCAGAATAACACACTGGTTCCCTGTGGATTGTGTTTTTAGGCTGCCGGAGCTGTGGGTCTACTCACAGTCACTAAAAACATCAAACTCTCTAAAGGGCTCATGTGCAATATGTTAGCTCCTAACATATTGGGCATTTTAACACAAGGTTTGCAGGAAACATGAGCATTCAGGGTTTTTTTGTTTTTTTTCCCCATAACCTGCATCTTATATCTCAACATGATTTCTATGAATGCAGGTACTTGTAGAGTTTTTGCTGATGCCTGACTGCAGGTCATGGCTCTTCCCCTGCGTTTGACTCTCAGATAAAGCCCCAGGCAGGCAGGCAGCCCAGCGAGTCAGGAAAGCATTAAGGGGTTAACATTCAGGCGCGTAAATACTGTCCATCGCTCTGTGGGGCTTCTTCACTCAAACAAACGCTTTAAACAAATGATCTAATTAAAGCGAGACGCCCCGGACTGCGGCCGAACGGTGTGAATTACACGCAGACCGCCGCCGACGCTCGGACGGGGCAGCTTGTGAACGCACGAAAAGCAGTGGGGCAAATAATGCCATATGTTGACAGGGATTCTGCGGAGAGCCGCAGCGACTCCCGTACAGCGTGAAGGCGACCGGAGGATCCGATTGGCGCTCCGCTCGGTCGGGCAGCGCGGCGGCCGGCCATGAGCCCGGAGTACCGGAGGCTCCGGCCGCTTCCATTACTGTTCACAACAACCGCACTTCTCTCCCTGTTGACGGGTCACAACTCCTTAAAACACGGGCTATTGTCAGCCATGGCCGGCGCCTGGCAGGGAGACTCCGCTGCGGGGCTCCGGGCTCGGTCTCGGGTCGTGATTTCCATGCCACGCGCCGCTCGAACAGCGAGCGAAAACCGACAGAAGCGCTCCGTATGTGGCAGCATTTGACAACAATATGGCTGATAGATTAAAAAAAAAAAAAGAGGAGTGTGGCAGCGGCGGAGGGAAGAGGGGGGGGAAAACGAGACCCAGAAGAACGGCGAGGCTTCCCCCGCTGCTGTCCGCTCCTGACGAGGGGAAAGGAGGCAGAGTTCAGTTCGGGGAGACGGCAGGACGTCAAGCGGCTCGCGGGAGACTCGAGCAGACGGAGCCCGCCGCTCCGCAGTATCATTTCCCGAAGTATGTTTTTGATCCGCGGGAATCCGTTTCGCTGTATTTTCGCGAAAAAATGTCACAACCCCGGTCGGCTCGATGTAACTCCGCCTTCTTCTTCTTCTCCGAGCGGCCTCTCTTCAGATGTAGACGGGCGACCGAGAGCCACAAAGCTGTCAAAACGGAGCCGAGTCTTCGCCATTTTTGTTTGTTCCCCCCAACAAAACGCGAACCGCCGCGCGAGGCGGCTCGACACGGAGCCGCCCGGCCTTACCTGCCGTGAAACCAGTCCTTGCAAGCATCGCACTCGATCATAAACTGGGTCACGTCGTAAGGTAATCTGCAGATGCAATACACTGGTACAGTCGCCATGTTCAATTCACAACTACGTCGGGATGGACTGGGGGGGCTGCAGGAGGAACAGCGTCCTGCAAACAATATGATCCAATATGATCTTCCCCAGGAAAAAAAAAAGCCAGGGGCAGTCCCGCCGGACACATGCAGCTAGGCTCGCTGCTCCATCACCGCCGCAGCCGCGTTTGCGTTTGCGGGGCGGGCGGGCGAAGCGATGGAGGCTCGTCTTAGCTGGTTTTCCTGAAATGCATTCTGTTTTATTATTATTATAACTATATGTGCGTGCCCCCTGCTGACTGCGCGGCACCGATGCGCTCGCAGCGGGAGCCCCGAGGAGCAGAAGAAGAAGAACAAAAATAATAATAGAAAATAATGTGGGCTCGGCGTCTTTTGGCGGAGTTAAATAAATAAGTGGGGAAAGTTACGTCAGGAAGCGGTTCTGGATCTGATGAATGAGTTTTAGGATCAATCAGCTGAAGGAGCGACGAGGACATTGAGGCTCCGCGGCGGTCATTACATGAAATATGGATTATTGAAGACTAAATACATGTAGTAAATTACATTTGCCTTAATTTCCAAAGACTTTCAATTATATAAATCAATTATAGATAGATAGATAGATAGATAGATAGATAGATAGATAGATAGATAGATAGATAGATAGATAGATAGATAGATAGATAGATAGATAGATAGATAGATAGATAGATAGATAGATAGATAGATAGATAGATAGATATGCACACATATACATGAATACATAAATAAATAAATATAATATGTATGTAATATATATTACATACTAATATATATATATATATATATATATATATATATATATATATATATATATATATATATATATATATATATATATGTTTAGAAATGGGTGGCAGCAAGAGAGAAAGTGACACAGGTCGAGAAAGTGCACACAAACTGGGTGACTTGGAACGAGACATGATGACCAAAATAAATCTAGAGTCAGAAATGACTGAAGCAAAGGAAAACGAAATCACTGCTGATCTACTCAAATAGAAACCAAGGAAGACAGAAATAATAAACAAATCCAAAATAATACAAACCACACAAGTTCCTGACCGTTTTTAAGTGTGTGTGTGTGTGTGTGTGTGTGTGTGTGTGTGTGTGTGTGTGTGTGTGTGTGTGTGTGTGTGTGTGTGTGTGTGTGTGTGTGTGTGTGTGCGTGTGTGCGTGTGCGTGTGTGTTCCGGAAGAGGATACGTAGGAAATCCTTTGCAGATTTCTGATGCGGTCTTCAAGTTCACATGGTCTGTGTTCTCCACATATTCCATTACTGCTGAGCTCCTTCTACACTGCAGCGTGTTGGGTGAGTTCTTCGTAACCCCAAGCCATATTTAATTGTTCCGTTGTGTTGTTCAGAAAAACTTTTTTTGGGGGGGGTATTTTTCCAATTTACTCCTTCAAGGAGTAAATTGACAAAGTCAGTTCTTCATCTGACTTTGTAAAGGAGTGATGGATGGAAAACAGCACAGATGCTCTGCTTCCTGGGCTTTTGGTGCTTCTCTATAGAAATTCCTAGAAAGAGGAGCTGCTCCTTCCAAAGTAAACACCAGGTCAGGTATTTTCAGATGATCTTATCTAGGTATTTAGTGAACACAGGTGGGCAGAGTACCAAAAACATTTAGAACTACTTCAGCATTTTTTTACTCAAGCAAAAGTAAAAAAAAAAAGGAATTTGATAGCAAGTACTGAGTCACTATCAGTCGTTTAATTTTTTAAAAATGACATCATCAGACAGACCAAAATGTGAAATTAAGTGGGAAATGTTGGTGTTTTTAGGACCGAAATGACAATAATCCATATCGCAAAAATAATAAAAATCAAGCAAAAGAAAAAAAATCGATTTTGTTCAATAAACAAAACTGATTTTTCTAAAAAATAAACATTTTTCCTTAAAAATTATTACTTTTAAGGGAAAAAAAGTAATAATTAATATATTACTAGTTACTACCCATCTCTGGTAGTTGATGAATCTTTTTGTCCACTCAGATTGACATATTTTGCATAATCAAACCGACAGAGAAAGTCAGTGTGATATTATATTCACTGACTTGTAGAAATCAGTTCATGCTGATTCCTGCTCTCGTGGACTGGATGAAGTTGTGGATCACTGACGGTAGGGGGCAGCATTTCCTCATTAAACTGATGAAAATACAGAGTGTTCACACAGTGTGATGCTGTGTGATGCTGCGTGATGCTGCGAACCTAATCACCTGTTTATTGAGTCATGTCTCACCCTTATAGTGTCCAGTTATGCTAAATTATTTTTGTTTTTGGGGGATTTATTTGGAAGTGTTTTTACATTTGTTTATTTCTGCACCAAAGAGCAAGAAAACATTTAAGTTTGACTTTTCTTTTTGTTAGTAAATGAATTGAAAATCTTGAGAACAGTTGTTATTTCCACTGCTGGTTATTTCCCTGCTCCATCTTTGTGATGTCTGTCATCTGCTCTGACAGGGTATCAGCTTCTAGCCCAGATTCTGCCAGACGGTTCCTCTTTTCTTAGAGCTGCCAGTTCATCACAGATCACCGGATTCTGTTTCTCTGCCTGCTTTCAGACAGCAGCTAACAGGTTCTCACTGCGCTTCAGATCCACAAACTTCAGCGCTCCACCGATCTGCCTGCTTGGTGACACAGTAGCTGTCTGCTGCTGGATGTAGAAACTGGATCCGTTAGTTGTATTTTACTGATGGCTGTGTAAGTAATGAAGTCACTTCTAAGGGTTTTACTGTTGCTTTTGAGCTGAAGCTGCAGCAGAAGTAGGCTTTCATGCTGGGTTTAAGGTTCCCAAGACGCTTCACCCGCCTTGCCTGCTGCTGGTCTTCAGAGGGCCCAACAGGTGGCGCTGGTGCATGTCAGCCTGGCCTCTGTCAGCACGACGTGTGTGTGAGTGACTGAATGTAGTGTGAAGTGCTTTGGGGTCATCTAGACTCCATGAAGGCCAGAGGGCTTCATTAACATTAGGTTTTCAGCGTACAGTCATAACATCAGTGAAAGTTGAACGTATGTCGGTTTTTGACATTAAACTTTATGAGTGTTGAATGTGTTTTGTACAGAACATTTACAGAAGGCAGGATGTATCAAACATTCACCTGGGAGATGACATTTTCTTCAAGTAGAAATTTAAAAAATACACAAAAAACCGATAAAGTACATTCAGAGAAGGAAAATATGAATTAGAATAGCAAAACTGAATTTTAACTCTATACTGAAGCAGCATCACATTCCAGTATGCCAAATGTGCAACGCAGCTATCCTTGCTCATTACAAAGAGAACGTCTTCACTCATCCACGTTTACTATTAGAAACGCCTGCATTTGATATTAAACCCAACATTTATCAAAAGCTGTCAAGGCAGCCACTGAAATGGAAACGAACACAGGTTGATGGACGATACGTTCGCTTTTGCTCTACAAACACATTAGCTTGGCGCCTCCGCTCAGAGGTCGAGCGATATCCGATACTGCTGTGCTATCTGGGCTAGTTCCCTAGCGAAGTCTTGGACTTCCAGCAGGGCCTGCTTCTCTGGGTAGTGCACAGCGGCCTTCTTGGTGGCCACGGCCAGCTGCTTGAGGAGAGCACACAGGTGGTTGCTCTTGCACAGGAGGTTTTTGCAGGACCCTTGACGATGGGCCTCCCTGCAAAGAGTGTCCAACAGTCTCTGCCCCACCATGATGACCAGCTTACTTTGTGAGATGAACTTCTCCGGCGGCTGGTTATTCTGAAGGCTTTCCACAAACCCACCAATAGCCTTTTGAAGCGCTCCGAAGTAAAGTCGGCAGTGCTCCGACAGGGAGGCTGACTGCTGTTCTTCTGTGCTGCTGCTGGACTCAGACGAGTTACGCTTATTGTCAACCTGAGAAGAAAAGACATATTTTTCTCATATTTCTTTAACATTCACATCAGAGCATTTTTTTTCTTATTTGCAACTTTGGACTGGCAAAAGGTATGGCCTTTTGACTGAAAACTGAACAAGCCGCTATAAAAACAGGAAGCCATCCATCTATTATCCAGCACGCTTCCCTCGTTGGGATATGAGGGGGGCGGTTGCCAATGGGCACGAGGCAGGGTACGCCATCGCAGTGCAACACAGAAACGAGCAATTATGCACGTACACCTGAGGAAGACTTAGAGAGACCAGTCAATCTGACAGTCATGTTTTTGGACTGGGGGAGGAGAAGCTGGAGTACCCAGAGAAAACCCAGGCATGAACAGGGAGATCATGTAAACTCCATTGCACAAAGACCCCAGGCTAGCACGGCTAATAGTGCTACCAAGTGCACAGCCTGGAAAACAGCTATATAAACACAATGATAAGTAACGTCTGCAGTCAAAGAAAAGATGATGGGTGGGCAGTTTTAAGAACAACTGTATTTGTTCATGATAGCTTAGTGTTAGTGTTAAGGTTTGAGTAAGGTTTGGGAACCTATGTTGTTCAGGCTTCTGCCTCCAGTCAATTCAACTTGGAAGAGGGCAAGGACAAAGACCGGGTCAAACACTTTAATGAATGGCAGACCACATAAAACAGCTGACCTTATGAGACCAGGAGCCAGGTCTGAGTGGAGCTCGTAGAGTGATTACGGGAGGTTTAGTTGGCTCCTAGGCTGAGGCGGTTTCAGGTCTGAAAAGCTATAGGAACCCCTTCCCACTTTACCGCACTCACATAGGTGCTATGTGAGCATGCGGCCCCGGGCTTGGCAATTCCCTAAATCAAAATCTGCCTCTAAAGCCGTCACTGGAAAGTTAAGGAGCTGTGAGTGAAGCTGGACTCAACCCCCGGGAATCAAACTGGGAACAACTGTGTTGAGGCAATCTGTGTACAATGTGCCTGCTCTGCCACTGAGCCATGTGATGCTCCATGTGGACGGCTTTTTTATTCAAACCTCTGTGCTTGACATAGGATGTACCTGAGAAATATTATTTTCAAGCACAAAGGTGGTTCAAAAGTATAGTGAATGTCAGATCAATTTGGTTGATCACATAAATGATCAAAGAGCAATGCATTGGCGTTTGTGGTTGTGATTCCAGAAAATATGGGGAAAAAAAGCAACGAGATAGAAACTTTTCATTAAACTTGTCTTGAAGTGTACACAAGTTGTAGCCAGGTGTCTGATAGTAGATAAAAGACGAAATGCATAACACAAAAAGAGTTACATAGTACCTGTTTAGAGGCTGGTGAGATGTTTTCTTTTGGACCTTTAAGTATTTCTTCTGGCTTCCTTTCTTCAATTTTTCTCTAAGAAAAACCGAAAAAGGATTAACTCAAGCAATTGTACTTTGAGTTTTCCTTGAAAATTCATGACGTTCAACAGCCGTATCCAGCTTTGTATTCTGTACATTGATAAAAATCTACAGAATACATTTTTATCAATGTAGAATATTTCACCTGTAGCTCGACGTAGTCATTGTCGTCTTCCTGCGATTCTTGTCCTTCTTCAGTTTTGTCAGGACTTTTCTTGGTCTGTGGTGGACTTCTGTTGTTCACAGGCTCTTGGTCTTTTTGAGGAGTTTTAAAAAGAAGCTTACTGTTCCCATAGATGATGGACACTAGGCGCTTGACATCGTCAGGTACAGTGCGCGCCACCATCACGAAACGATCAAGCTGGTCAGGGTTCTGGGTCTGGCCTGCGTCCTGCCAGAGTGAATCGAGGGCCCAGCCAGCTGTGTTCAGAGAGCTCGCTGTTTGTTGTAGGATCACACCAGAGTCTTCTACTATGGACAGCTGTTTGTAGAGCCTGGTTTGCAGGTTGGTATCAGTTAAATGACGAGCATTGCCCTTAATATCAAGGGCAAAGTTGAGAAAGCATGTCACGGCTGATACGATTGTCTCTGTTGCTTCCTTGATTTCTTTCAGGTGTTTCTCCAAATGGTTTTTACACCTCCAGTTGCTGCTTACGAAGTCCATGAGCTGGGGCATCGCCCCGCAAACAGAATCCTGAAGCTCAAGGAGTTTTCGGCAAGCTTCTTCCTGGCTGAGTGCCACTTCTCGAAGAGGCTCCGGGGACGATGAGCTTAAGGATAGAGAGTCACAAGAGCTGGTGGAAGAGCTGGAGGCCGTGCTAATTCTTTGATTCAGTACTGCAGAGAGACCTGGTCTGAATTGCTCGTTTTCTGGTGCCGTAGCCTTCCCGCTTCCTGGGAGGTCATTAAAAGCCGTACAAGCCAAAAAGTTCCTCATCCGCTGTAGACGCACCCTTTTCAGTTCCAGAATATTGTTTGGGTCACCCCTTGTCTCAAGGGATTTATAATCTCCTGGAGGATCACTCACCACCTGCGGGGGAGGGTCTTCTTTGGGTGGAACATCATATGGTGACTCCTCTGTCGGCTGCTGAGTTGGAGGTTTGTGTGAGTGTTTGGCACGGGGGAATGTTTTTGGCTTGTCAGGAATGCAGGGTTTTGGCGTATCATAAATTGAAGAGTTTGGATTTGTTTTTTGAGCAGGTATAGTGTCATACAGCTGCCTGCAAGTAGCTCTGGGTGGCAAGGTGTCATAGGTGCCTTGGAGAAAACTTTGCTTCTCAGAACCCGCGGGTACGTCGTAGATCCACTCGTGTTTGCGCAGATTAGGAAGAGTGCTGAATGCACTGAGAACTTTATGTTGGTATTCTGTGCCTGAGGGAACAGGGATGTCATAGTTTGGGTCCTGAGCCAGAGATGGTGGCACTGCATACACCTTTGAAAAAAAAAAAGTAATTACTAGCCTTTTAATTCTGTAGAAACAAAGCATTCATAAACGTTTTTTGTATCAATAATCAAGTTCGATTCCAGCTTCCTCCTGCCATGTCGATGTGCCCCTGGCATTGCCTACCGATCTACGTATCTGTGTGTAACCTAGATTGAATTTAACGGGTGTAAAATGCGAGTGGTCAATATGATCGGAAAAGCTCTATACAAGTTCAGTCCATTTACCTTTCAGAGCATTTCTCTGTCAATCTGAACACGTTGTCCAAACTGTGGTCTATTTACATGCAGGCATATGAGAACGGAAAAGTTGCACGTTGATCTGATTAATATTCAGAACTACCTCATAAAAGACGGGTGGAATTAATAAGCAACACATTTTAAGAAATGTAAGAAAAATATAAGTACAGACAATTTGAAATTGTGAACCTGCAAGAGATGAACTCATAAGTGAAACTTCTTGAATAGGAAGCCATAACGTGACTGATAGTGAGATAGCATTTCAACGACGGAATATTGCTAAAAAAAAATAATAATCTTGTTTTAATCATTTGTGAAGACATTTAAAACTTACATAAGAGTCTGTTTGACTGTTGCTCCTTAAACTCTCCAGCGTGTCGGACATCTTCTCCGGCTCTGAAACTGGAGCAAGAAATTTTGCCTTTGGGATTTGGCTTGCAGGTGATGATTCCTGAAAAGGAGAGATCATACGCCCATGATGTTATCTGGATAAACCTCACCCAGATGGCAATATAAAATAAATAAATAAATAAATAGACAAATTGTGATTAATGCGTATGCTTACAACTAAAAGAGAAGCTTGTCTTGCTTGGGACGGCACGTCGTAGACTTCCCTTTTGGGGCTGGAAGCCAGGCTGGAGAATAGAGGCTGCAGACATAACGGCATGTCGTTAGTGCCATGATCAAAGCTGCAGCTACCTCACTGACCCCTGCATTAAACACATTTATGGGGACAGTGTTTTTCTCTGAAGCCTGTTGAGAAGCCCATTATGCATACACTTGGCCAATTAACGCAGCTTTGTAATAGAAACCATGCTGCTCAGTGGATATTAGGTGGCTACTGTCGAGGGGAACACCACTACCCTGCAGCACAAGAGGAAATCATGAACACATGGGTGTGTTTCTTCCCAACAACCTGCACCCGTACAAACTCGTGTGTGTTTCTGAGGTCCCGGGCAGTAGGGATGGCTGTTTGCAGTTAAAAGTGTCTGAAGTCCATGTCTGTTTGTCTTTTACGGGCCCATAAAGACCATGTTGCTGCATGCCTATCCTGACAGAAAGCCCCCTGGACCCCCATATGTAAGCTCTTTTGCCAGCAGGAGTTTCACAGCTTTGCATTTCTCCCCATCATTTTCAATTATGTAGGTTTTACCCTTCCAGAGGAGGACAAGGTTTGATTTCACACCAAAATATGTGGAACAGCGGTTGAGTCCCTTCTTAAACTGCACAGAAATGAAAGGTCAGTACCTTGTTCAGGCCCGGTCCGTTGGTCTCCTGCCTCAATGCTGACGGGATTTGGCCGCGTGGAGCAAGCGAGGGCGAAGACAAGTCTTTGCAAATCCCGTCCATGCGTTCGTAGGTGATGGTGCTGATGGGCTGGGGCGGGCTCGGGATCTGGTAGATGTTTGGCACTTTGACGTGACCTTTAGCTTTATTCACAGCGGGCTTTTCGGCGTCGTGCCTCGCGGGCCCCGCCGCGGTCACAGCCTGTGGCAGGAGCTCCAGTCGGTTTGCGGGGGCCAGACCACGGCGGCCGTGCAGGGAACACTTCCACCAGCCGCTGGTGTCCGACACATTTTGCTCCATCACCATGACGATGTCGCCTTTTCTGAAGGCGAGTTCGTCCGCACACTCCGCGACGTTGTCGTACAGAGCCTTGGCAAATTTACTCTGGAACGCAGAACAGAGAGGATGGAGATGAGGAGGATAAAGCAGGCAGAATGTTTAAAAAAAAAGAAGAAAAAAAGAAATTTTATTACAAAGTATCGCTACTTTTGTTTGAATAAAAATTTTGGATTCTCAACCCACTGAAGGAAGAACAAACATATTTTAACTACAAATCCACCAGAGACACACACACACACACACACACACACACACACACACACACACACACACACACACACACACACACACACACAACCGCGCACACACACGCGCACCCACACACACACACACGCACACACGCACGCACACACACGCGCGCACACACACACACACACACGCACACACACACGCGCACCCACACACACGCACACACACACACGCACACACGCACACACACACACGCGCGCACACACACACACACACGCACACACACACGCGCACCCACACACACGCACACACACACACACACACACACAGCTGCAGTTTTTGTCAAGATTTTTATTGAATGAAACCAATTTAGAAAAAAAATGTCTTTTGCCTAATTTTATTTGTCACTGAAATGAATTATTGTCATTTTGCTCCTAAAAATACCAACATTTCCACTCAACTTCATATTTGTCTGATGATGAAATTCTTTAATATTAAGTGATTTATAATTTGACTAGTTACTTAGTGCTTTTTACCAAATACTTTTTTTACTCTTCCCTCAGTAATTTGAACAGCTAACTTTTTACTTTTACTTGAGTTCAATTACGCAGAAGTAGTGCTATTCTTACATGAGTATAACTTTCGGGTCCTCTGCCCACATGTTTCTGGTTTGGCCTGCTGTGGCCTCAATGTGTTTCCTGGCCTGGCACGTCCCACTTCACAGCTTTCATGACCAAAAAGTGTCGTACCTCATGTCATCTACACCTTTTCACTACCACCAACTCTGCCCTGAATCTGCAGACCATATCACTCACATCAGTCCTCAGGGGTCTTTCTATCGTCTAACACTACACGGCATAAGAGACCCCATGTCGGGACCCGGTTGAGACCCCACACCAGATGTAGTTGTAAATGAAAATGTTTTGGTTTCAAATGACCCAACATTCTCTGTATTTTCACTTCCTGTTTGTGCTTTCTGCAGAAAGATAAATGAAAACCACGCTTCTGCTCAGTTCCTCTGGCAGGCTGTGCAAAGCCAGAGCCCGTTTTGCTCATCGTGTTCCTAGCCCCAGGTGAACCGCTGCCACTTTGTCCAAATGCATCCCTTCCTCGCCCGCTGCGCTCCCCTGTCGTGCTACATTCATACAGGAAATCGAACCCTGACCAGGCTACAGGAAGTGTAGCAACAGTGACATCCTCTTTTTCTGTGATGGTTCTTGTGGTGAGAGAGCTGTGAGGGAAACAAAGCTTTTTTGGGGGATGATGACATATATATCGAAACTCGAACCGCAAAGCCTTGTGAGTTCACAGTCAACACTCGGCGGTCAGATGTGTTGCATGGGTGTATGCACTGCTGACCTTACTGATTCACACAGACTTATCGGTGGAGCCGAATCTTAGCCACCGTTTCTGTGAAGACGTGTTTGCAATAAAACATTTTCGCTTTCGCAATCGAAACGTCATCTTATGTAGGTTTTACATAGTGGCTGGTTCCGTTGCATGCAGGTGGTTAATGAAAATTCCCCGCAAGCATGCGGTGGCAGCTACCTTCGCTTTGACCAAATGCAGCGGTCACAAAACCCTATGAAGTATCTTTGCTCCAGTTTCCAGTGCAGCCATCTTAGTACGCTTGAAATAAGACAAAATAACTTAGGAGAAACTTTTTGGGAATATATAGCAGCTTGGAAATAATTGTTTAATGTTGATGGAAACGTTTCAGTTACATTGGCAGATTATTTTACTTACAACATGGAAAATATCTCATCAAGTCAAATAATCGTCCAGTGGAACGGAAACGTTTCCATCAATGTTGAGGAATTGTTGACTTAAAACAAGCTCCGAGAAATTACTCGTTTTTGTCTTATTTAAAGTTTCCTAAGATATTTGCACTAGAAACCAGACCAAAATTATTTGGTAACATTTTTGGTTCTTTGCAGGGCCTGGATAATCCTGGACTCGCCTGCAAACAGATCGGTTCACCAGAAAGGCCTTTACTAGCGCTGACCAAACCAATCCGTAGAAAAGTCGACGTGAAACTGATTAATAACTCATTTCAAATTTATGACTCATTTGTGGCTCATTTGAAGGTTTTCTGCTTTTTAAATCTAGAAATGCCAGCGGTGGGCGGCATCAGTAGGAAGGACGGCTCACATGTCGGACCCGACACTCCCACACCTTTTCAACCCACCTCGCTCTATCTGCCTGTACTTACCTGTCGTTGAGTGGTCAGCCTCACACATGTGAGGAAGTGTTCCACAGAGCCAGGGATAAATAAAGGCAGCAGGCCTCACCCGGCCCTCCCTGCAACAAAGAGGCCTTTCACCATCAGACATCCACACACTCGGCACCTGTCGCGGTGCGAGCCTGCGCATTGCGCTCACAACAGCGTGCCTCGACACAAGACACACACACACTGGCTTTCTAATCCTTTGGGTAATGCTACAGACATGCAGCGATGGCCGGCGCTTTAAGTCTTCCCTTCTACCTTCACTCTGAAAAACAGATTGCGTGACTGCGGCGTGCTTTCGCCATGTCCTCATCGTCTGATGCTCATGCTGTCTGTCACCCGATCTGTCACGGCAATTATGTGTAAAGAAAACAATAAAATAGGTAGTTTCATTCATAGCACTTCCACCACTGCCTGGTCTAGTTTTTGCTAATTAAATTCCTCATTTCAACGTCGTTCAAACCACAAGCCGACCTTTGAAATGCTCGGAGTTCAGCTGGATTGTCCTGAGGTCACCCCTCACCCCCCACAGCCTTGTGTTGGCCGTGTGTCTGTGCGCTGACCACTGCTTTGCAGTGACAATGTCAGCTTCAGCTGTGGCTCTGGGATTCCTGCACGCGCCTGCCCGTGTGGATCAGTCGCACGGACAGCTGGGCCCCCGAGGCCCTCACAGGCCCAGCTGCCTCTGCCCGTCCCCCTGCCGGACCCAAGCCAGAGTCCAAACGTGGAGTTCGTCTCGTTTGTCCGTTCGGCTGAAGACTCACAAAATTCAGCAGCACAACTAACAGGCCTTGAAACACCGACTGACGGAGGCTTCAAAATCAAAGATTTCCTCGTCGACATCTTATGTGCCGGAAGATCAAATCACACTGCAAAAACACTAAATCTCACCAAGTACTTTTGGTGAGATTTCTAGTACAAACGTCTTGGAATAAGACAAAATACTTACAAGTAACTTTTCAGCAAGGTATAGGAGTTTGTTTCAATTTAATAATTCTTTTATATTGATGAAAAGGTTCTAGCTCCATTGGCTGGTTATTTTACTTATATCAGGGGAAAATGTCTTGTTTTAAGTGAAATAATCTGCCAAACGAAGAAATACTTTTCAATCAATAATAAGGAATTTCTTACCTAAATCAAGCTCTTGCTGAAAAGCTGCTAATAATAGTTTTGTCTTATTTTAAGTGCAGCGAGATATTCGCACAAAAACAGAGAGAAAAATCCCTGGTGAGGTTTTGTGTTTTTGCAGTGTGACAACTTGCATCGCCATCATTAGAAATATGACTCTTGGATTAGAAAATACCACGGCAACTGTAAACTAGAGAGTAACAAACTCGACGATGAGTCAGCGTCTCTGATCTCTTCGGTTTCAGCTGCGGCTCCTGCAGAGCTGAGCGGCGGCGGACCGGCTGCTCAACTCTTCACCAGAGCCAGCGATCTGTGACTTAATACTGACCCAAAGTTAACACACGTCACCCATGAGTTTGGCAACGCCGCCTTTGAGTCATGCAGCGCTGCACAGACACGGTTGCAGAACTCTTGACAGAGGAAAGGAGCAGTCGTTGCTTCTGAACACGAGCGGAGAAGGGAAACAATTGGTCAAGTTTTCTTTGTTCTTAAACTGCAGGTTGATTCATGGTTATGATTAGAGCTGCTTAAAAATGCTGCATTATGGGATGCAGCGCAGCGTGGCAGAGGAGCTCAAGCCCGTATATGGCAGTCGCATGTCCTCCATCTCTACCCGTTTCCTGTCTGAGTTCTGGGAATTCTGAAGGAACCATGCAGAGAGGATCCGTCTGAGAATATTGAGGAGGAATAAAAATGCTTTTCAAAAAGAACAAAGCGATATTTTTATATAAAGGAAAGATTTCACATGTTTCCATTGGTAGGGAGTGGGACGATCACTGGTGGTGCACTCCCTCCACTTCCTGTGTTTTCAGGAAGTCATCGGCGTTCAGCGTAAGTCAATGCAAACATGAGAGCACCTTAAAAGGTTCTGCAAACAGCACTGGCTGTTACTTTGTTACTGCTTTTTCCGGTTCTTAAAGTCTCACTTGAGGAATTCTGAACCGTCCCTTTAAATTATATGATGGCATTCCCGGTTGCCATGACAAATGAAACAAAGTACTTGAACCCTCAGGGTCAGCCTTCTACTTACACAGAGGCAATAACGTCAGACCAGGCCACGGTGTGGGAACAACACCTTCTTGTCTCTGACCTTTGGCCCTTTTGACAGACAGGTCACGACCCCGGCATCGGGTCAGCACCTCATCCATCATCCCTCCAGACGTGTAGCAGAGGCTGCACAACTGAGACCACTTCCTGTCTGAGGAGACTTTGACTGGAACGTAGAGATTCACCGAACCTGAAGGTGAAACATTAGATTTCCCATAATTCTTTGGGAGAAATCGAGTGTTCCACATTAGACGGACAAAGCTCTGGGGGAAAACACAGAAACAGTTTTGTTTGATGCACAGACATTTCGTTTCTGCTCCGCATTTCACGACAGACCTGGCGCCAGCTTTCGAGGGACCGAAGTTGGTCAACATTCTCTCCCACCCCGAACTCAAACGGCGACTCGCTCTTTGAGTGAGTCGCATTTCCTGTGTGTTGGAGTTCGTGGGAACAAAGTGAAAGACACAAACGTGGGACTGTCTGTGCTTGGAAAATCCAACAGGAAGCTTTGGAAGGCTTGTCAACATTCCTTGGTGAGAGCTAACATCCCACAGACGGAACATCCCGACTGTTTCCTCTGTGCCTCCGGTAGCTCACGTCGAGATTGGTGCGTCTCAGAAAACGTACGGCGGCGTTTGCCGTACACCGACCGGCTCGTGTCCAAATGAGATGGACGATTTAAACCTAAACCCGGTTGAGCTTCAATCCTTTGGTGTCGTGACTGAAACGGAGTGAAGCCATTGGAGACACGCGGCTCAAACATCCTTCAACCGTTTCAGGATGTTTGGAATGCATTCGTACATAAATTTGCAAAGCTAACAGTGGCAGCAATGAGAATCTGTACAGTTTACATCCATTCACCATTCCGATGATTGAGCAGCATACATCTTTGCAGGAGTTTTAAGAACATGAGTATTGGCTACAATCACTGGAAGAGACTTCACCTCAAACCAGTGGCGAAGTTGCCGAGTCTTGGGTAGAGCAGGATGCTTCAAAAACCACTGCAAAATTGGTTTTGGAGTTGTTGGAATAACAATTCTGTGTTTTCCTTCTCCCTCTTTGAAGTAGTTGCTAAGCTAAACCTAAAGGAAATGACATGCTTGGAAATGCAAATGAGAGCCAGGAGTAAAGGATGACACACTGGGGAACACCCTCTTTAGACGTAGATAGAGGCTAACAAAGAAGATCACCAACTGTTCGTGGTGGCCATTTTGTCCTGCTCGCTCCTAAAGGCAGCACGAGAAATGGACCGGCTGCGTTTTGGTATTAATAAATGGAATTTATGAATTCAACTCACTGACTCTTTTTCAACCTCACACATCAAGAACTCAGCATGGAGAACGGATGATTCTCCACAGAGCCAATAAAAAAAGGCTTCCTGGACCAACAGATGTTGACGGCTGCAGATGATGCGACGTTTCTCTGCAACTCGGCAGGAAACCAGATAAAACTGACGCCTAATCACCAAGCATGACGTTAGACGCCGACGCAGTGCGCAACGCCACGGGTGGGACAGTCTGTGGGACAGTCTGTGGGACAGTCTGTGGGACGCCTGAGGTGTTGGGCGCCGGAGTTTCCATGGCGAACAGAGCAGAACAATGAATTCAAGCCTCTTTGTTCTTTTTCATGCTCTGCAAAAACACAACATCTTTCCAAGTGTTTTGGCTCTTGTCTCCAATGCAAGTATCTTAGTACACTTAAAAAATAACTTACAAATAACCTGTCAAGGAGATGTAGACACTTGTTTTAAGTAAACAATTTCTTAATGTTGAGGAAAAGGTTTTTGTTCCTTTGGCAGATTATGTCAAGTTAAACAAGACATTTTTCCCCTGATAAAAGTAAAATCATCTGCCAATGGAACTAGCACATTTTAAATCAATATTAAGAAACTTAAAACAAGCTCCTATATTGTGCTGAAAAGTTACTTATAAGTCAAATTTGTCTTATTTTAAATTCACTAAGGCGTTTGCATTAGAAACTAGATCAAAAATACTTGGTAAGATTTAGTGTTTTAGTGATTTGGTCTTCCAGCACGCGCGCACGCACACACACACACACACACACACACACAGCTGGCTTCGCTGCACTGTAATACAAAACAGTTCAATAACAAATGGGCTGATGAAACATGAGTGTGACAACAGCAACAAAAAAGACGGATATGTGGGCGCAAACTACACAGCCGCTGCTGAAATCTGCTGCGTCTGCGTCACAGATCAAGCTTGGTGAATAAAGTGAATATGAAAAACATATTTCACTTTGCATCATTCTTCATAACGTCAACCAACTAATGGTGACACTGAATAGTAACGGCAGTAGCAAAACAAAGGAAGTGACCATAAAGATCAATGTGATGGATAAGAGAATTTTTTTTTTTTTAATGCAAAAACCCCCAGCAGATCCAAAAGGTTCTGATGCTGTCGTATCGTTTGGCTCCTGGATCCTGATTTGTTTACGCCTCAGTTGGGAAAAACTTGAGCCAACGGCAAACTGACAAACTGAAGAACGCAGCGGCGGACTGCAGATGAGCAGCTTCAACAATAGCTGCATACATGCATCAGACGTTCACACGTTCAGAAAGGATATGATATTTATGTCCTTCACCAGACTCTTCACCACGACAGACGGCTCGCCTCCTTCTCATTGGTTAAAGGAAGTCAAACGTTCATATTGTAAAATTAATCAGTTTGAAAAAAATGTTGCCATGTTTCCAGGGATGATATAGAGCAAGGGTGCTGAATTGATTTTCATTTTGGACCCAGTCAAAGTTCTGAATGTTCTTAAAGGGCCACTGTGTATTATAAAACCCATTAAAACTGTCAAAATATCAATAAAAAACTGTTTGGTTTTTTTCAGCATTCGATAGCTAGTTCTTAAAATTAAATAATTTGTTTGAACATCTTTTCACGCTGATCAGTCCATCCGGTAATTAATGACAATTTTTTGTCGTTTTTTTTTTTTTTTGGGAACAAAATCACAGATTTGAGAGGAATATTTATATTTGAGCTGATATGACATTAAATGTGACTTTTCATTCATCGCCAAAATGAGTCGCAGACCATGTAACTTGCCATTTAAACCCAACGCTCAGCTATTAGCTCATTTTGAGGAAAATAAATAATCAGGAAAAAAAATGTGGCGATCTGTTGATTTTGTATGAGTTTCACAAATTTGTTTAAAAAAAAAAACTGGAAGGGTTTTCAACAACAACAACAAACTGATAAACTGATGTAGTTTTGAGTTTAGAGGGCCGCATAAGAACCTACGGAGGGGCCAAATCTGGCCCCCGGGCCTCGAGTTTGACACACACACATCTGCCTGTTATTGAACTGGATCCTGAGCTGAATCCAGTCAGCTCGAGTCAGCTTTGGCTCATTGGTTGTGGCGGATCCATCAGCTGAACGCAAACAAACGACAAGATCGCGGAGCTGAAACCCGTCCTGATGCCGCCGTGGCCGCTCTCTGCAGCAGCTGCTGCAGCAGCAGCAGCAGCAGCAGCAGCACATGAGGCTTCCTGAAATAGTCCTCATGAAACCGAGAAAGGGATCCGAGTCCGATTCCAAATAACCTCGCAGAACGGAAGTTCCACCAGTTCAGTCAAGTTACTCACCAGCCAAAGCAGTCTATTTTTACAGAGTGGGTGATGATGAGGATGGTGATGATGAGTTCGGCTGAATAGAGAAGCTCCGCAAAGGGGAATTATCAGAGTGATGCATTTCCTTTTTGCGCTACAGTGAGATCACACACAGCGCTGCTGCTGCCGCATCAACTCTGGGATATTCAGGAACGGATCATTCCGTTCAGGAACCGCGGATCACCGGTTCTTCTTCTCTTACTGGGGGGAAAACTTTGAATTGCTCTCCCGGATGTTGCCCGGATCCGACGGACCTCAGAAATACTTTTTTTTAAAAAAACTGTTTTTACTTCTGCGACCTGCAGTCTGACAACAACAAGTTCTGGACCCAGCAAACACACACACACACACACACACACACACACACACACACACACACACACACACACACACACACACACACACACACACACACACACACACACTGAGAATCCACCAGTCCTCCTCGGGGTGAGGAAGCGGGCAGGCGGGACTCACCATGGTTGACCTGCAGTGCGTCCACAGAGTCTTCTCTGGACCATCTCAGCCGGACAGACTGAGCTGCCTGGCGGAGCTCCGAGCTGTCAGAGCCCCGGCTGGGCGGAGCTCCTGTCACACAGCCGGACCGCTTCCTGCAGCTCCGATTGGTCCACACAGTAAACACCCCCTCTGCCTCCCCCCCGTCCCCCACGTAATGCTGCAACTGTCCCTCCACTTTTCTAGCCTGCTTTGTTAAGGAGAACCGGGCTTATTTCAATCAAGTTTACTTCTCAATTAACTCCAGACATTATTGTTGTTATTATTTGTCAGTTTGTCACATTCTTCCCACTGTGTGATTGATTTCTGAAGATACTGAGTGTGGGTGGGTGGAGGGAGGAGCTGGTTGGTGGGTGGAGGGAGGAGCTGGGTGGTGGGTGGAGGGAGGAGCTGGGTGGTGGGTTGGTTGGTTGGTTGTAGCTCAACATTCTTGTTGGTTTTCTCAGGGTTGCCGGGGCAACGTGGATGGAGCGTCTGGGGGAACTGGGCTGCTGTTTGGAGGGATGGAAATAATAATCACACCCAAAAAAAACAAAAACCTTGCAAAGTAATTTTGCTCTACTGTCAAGAGCAAATACTTTTAGTACAGTTGGAATAAGACAAATCTAACTCAAGTCACTTTTCAGCAAATAAAGGAACTTCTTTTGAGTGAACAATTCCTTAATGCTGATGAAAAAGTGCTGGTTCCATTGGCAAATTATTTAATATTAATGCTAAAAATGTTTTATTGTTTTTGTTCAAAACGTGCTAAAAAGTTATTTGTAACTTTTAAGTCTTATTAAAATATTTGCACTACAAATGGGAGAAAAATTACTGGGTAATATTTTGTTTTCGCAGTGAAGCAGATTCTTCTCATATTTTAAGAATCTAAGAGTGAGTGCCTGATGTGTGTGTGTGTGTGTGTGTGTGTGTGTTTTGGCACACATGTTTTGCAGCAACTGTGTTCTTAAAATATCTACAGGATACCACCATAGCTGTGGTTAGAAGTTCTAAACTGACTTTTTTAACCAACAAACTGATAAGCAGAGCTTCTTGGTTCTTTTGCTTTTATTAAAAAACAAAAAATAAATCTAAATTACAGACACAAAACTAAGCAAAAGACATTTTTTTAAAAAGAGAAAAAAAAGTGAAGCAAATGTACAGGTCATCGGGAGAACAAAAACATCGTCACAGCTGATGTATCCTGCTTCCTACTTTCAGTTTAAACGCCAACGCTCAGCGGATCGCTCTGTCGGGAAGCAGTGGCCACACGTTTTACTCTTGAGGTTTAGTGAATACGAATGCTGGCGCTTTTCTCTAGAAATGTTCCAACAGAGGCCGCGCCACGTTTCTCAAATGAACTCGAAGTGAAATAGACGGCCGCCCGGAGCACAGGCAGAGGATCAGTCTGTGGTGGCGCGGCGGTACCAGAAGCGGGCCCTGAAGTCGTCGCTGCAGGTCATGAAGCCCGGGTTGGTGGGTGAATGGACGATGCAGCGGACGATGTTGTTGTGGCCCAGGGAGAGCAGGTTCTTCCTCTCCGCTGTTCTGGAGTCCCAGCAGCAGAGGCTGATGGTTCGCTCGTCGGGCAGCAGCACGTAGTCCTCCGTGTGGTTGAACACGCCCTGCGTGCGGTGCATCTGACGACCGCTGAGCCCCGCCCCTGAAACACAAAACGCCACATGTACTCATGAGGGGTCATTCTGGCTGAATCCACGGCAGAAGCCTAGAAGGCCCTCAACTCCGTCCAGTCCAGTTCACCATAGGGTTTCCCCCAATGTATCATCAGCCTGGCGGGCCTCCAGGCTTAACTTGTGTCCCCACCAGGCTAAGCAATGTTTGTTTTTTTAATGTTTGACAAAGACTTTATAGTTGGCGTTTAATTATTGTTGATAAAGTCTTCTGATAACATGTAATTACCAAAAAGTAAAGGTAATTTTATTTAAACAGCACATTTTGACCAACAAGGCAAAACAAAGCGCTTTACAGGAATTAAAAGGAAAAACAAAACAACAAACCAAAGGAAAGAGCAAAATAAGAAAAAGAATCTAATGCTGATCTAAAGTATGTAAGCCAGGTGCTCCTGTTCAGGGTTGCTGATAAGATTCCTCTGGTCTAATTTCATTTCTTGGTTGGAAGGACACACAACATTACATGCTTCTATGTTGTGTTTACAACAGTCTTAGGCTTTTACCGAGTGAAGACGACTCAAATTGAGCTCTTTGTGTTGCTGTAAAGTCAACTATCTCAATGCAATCTGCTGCGTTGCCTTTGATTGAAAACTTCAGTCAACTGACTTGATTGATTTGTCAGGTTAAGTACCCTGAGATTATGAAAATAAATGTATTTAAATTCCATTCACAAAGCTGGACTTGGAAATGTTGGCGATCTTTTGCAAAACATCTCAGTGGAGCAAAGAGTCTAAATCCTCAAAAACATAAAGATGCTAAAGACCATTTTAAGTGTGAACTGATACCTATACACTTCCGTAGAAGTCGATAAACTGTACAATACTACACGCTTCAACATGCTGACCCAGAAAATGTTGAACCTTTTCATTTTTTTTCCAACAGCTCTTGCATGCTAATGACTCACTACTCTATTGTTGTTCTTCCTTGTTTGCTCACAGCCTAACTTTAGGACTTCAGATCAAAACAGTCCAAACGTCTACCCGACCTCAATAGAAAACCATTATTGTATGTCCAACATTTCACATCTAAATGCTGGTACTGGTGAAGTTTTGATGGTCTGAATTTATTTGACTGCATTTTTATTTCTGTCAAGTCATGCTAAAGAAAAAGAACGTGAATTAGTCATGTACTTATTTCCATTTTGTTAAATTCTTACTGCAAGTCGTCATATTTTTACTCGTGGACCAGGGTTAGAGTTTGTTTCTACTACTTGCAGCATTCTGAGATTGTCCTCCCTATCCAAGTAACATTTGTACTGTGTGATGTCCTTAACTGAATCACAAATCAATCAAACTGAATCGTGAATGCAAACGGACCCGTCAGAATCTAATCGATTCAAGTCTGGCCAGTGTTTTTCCTGTCGCTTTCGCTTAAATTTCGAAATTTAAACGCTGAGGCCTGGAGAGTATGAGCGTGAGCTTGTATTTTAGTTTAGTTGTATTTTATTTTTAGTTTCTCAGAGCATCAACCAAATACTTGAACTCAATTCAACTGTGATGTGTAGCACCTCTTCACAAAATCTCAAGGGTTCTTCAGATTCCATGTCATACAACCGGATACAAACTCGTTAAATAAAATTCAATCAGGTAAAAACAAAAAAGTTAAAAACTTTTCAACTCAGAATCCCTGTTTCTTCTAAAAGTAGATCCTGTAAAGGTTTCGGTTGTGTTCGTGAAACAACTTCATTTGGACTCTTATGAATGTATAGTAAATATACATTCATAATAGGAACATGTCAGATGAAGGTCATCACATGTTTACCTGCAGCCTAATGCAGAGATTACAGTACAAACTTTACAAAAGCAAAGCTAAGTAAACTACATCTGCAGTACCAAGTGCCTGAATTCACAGGAAGTTCAGTTTTACATATTAAAGAATTTTCAGTAGGCCAGGGCAGACAAGAGGAAGTGTTCACTGAAGAAAAGAAAATGTGTGGGTATGCAGTGGTTTCAGTAAATAAGACTGAAGTGAAACTACAATTCAGATGAATTGAGATCATCTCGACTGGATTACATGAGCTAAACCAACCCCAAGATTCAGATCTGCAATTTATGTCCAATATAAACGTCTTTTTAAGCACATGCTGTACTACCATCTCTTCTTGTCTAGATACATTTGTCTTAAACCCAACAGAAGGGATTTTTTTTTTTTGTAAACTGATTTGCTTCTCAACACTTCAGAGCTAACATCGAGTAGGAGGTAAAGGTTCAGTTTGACCTTTTTCTATTAAATGAGTAAAACGCAGAAATCATGACAACCACCCCACAGTTACGAGGTCTGAAATGATTTTACCGTCATCTGGTGCAGGTGATTTCAGACCTCCACATAAATGTATGCTTCTGCATAAACCACACACACACATCCTCTGTGTGTGTGCCAGTTAGAGGTGGGCACAGTACCCTAAAAGAGCAGCACTTCTTCAATTTTAATCAAGTAAAAGTGACAAATAACCGTCCAAGGATTGACTGAAACGTAAAAAAAGTATTTGGTGAAAAGTCTACTTAGGAACAGAGTAACTGATCAAATTATCAATCATTTCATATTTAAAAATTACATGGTCAGATGGACCAAAAATATAAAGTTAAGAGGAAATGTTGATATTCCAAGGATGAAAATGACAACTTATATAAGTAACAAAAAAAGAACAAAATCAGGCAAAATAACTTTTTCCAAATTAGTTTGTCAATAAAAAAAATATAAAAGTTGAATTGTAGCTGTCTGTTCATGTGGTGAATTTTTGGTTAAAACATGTTTGTTCTTCATTCAGTGGGTAGAAAATCTAGAAATTTTACTCAAGAGCAGAGATACCTCATAATAAAATGACTCAAGTCAAAGTATTTTCAAACACAATGTGAAGTGAACTCTTAGTGCAGTGATCGGACTCTCCCATTATCAATACATCATCTTGGTGAAAAATGAAAGTGACACAAGATGGAAATAAATCTCTGACATTGCAGAGGATGCCTCATACCGGCTTAAAATTAAAAAATAAATAATGTGAATGATTGAATGTAGCATAAAAAGCGCTTTGGAGTTCTCTGAACTTGATAAAGAACTGTACAAGAATATCAGCGTTTCAGTATGACCTAAAACCAGAACAAACTTTTCTCATTTCTGCTCACCTTCTGGTGAAATTATCCACCTGCTTTAAAAACCTGCAAACATGCTCCTGGAGATTCTTTATTTTTTTTAACTTTCCCAATTAGCGAGTTTTACATCTCCCTTCTTTTTCTGCCTGTTGCAGTGTCAAGGCTGCTCTGGAGCAGCAGTGACACCAGCAGGCAGAGGTGGGCATCGCAACGCAACGCTTCCCCTTCAGTAATTACAGCAGGAA